CTACACCTCTTCCATACACCAGCCTCCAAGACAAGTCACTTGGTCTTTGTGTGGCTTGCCCGGTTGCATCAATCTTAGCTCCTCGCATCGCCTGGACCGTGACCTGGCTCTTCCCTGTCTCTGTGCTGCTGGAGCAGCTGGATCGCCCTGACCTCCCAGTGTTTCTTCATGGCCAGCTGGCTGCCTGCTGTGGGTCTGAGGCTGCTCCCATCTCCTGGAGCGTTGCTCATGCCCCAGCTGAAGCAACAAAAAAAAGAAAGAAAAGAAAAAAGGAATCACAGCACTTCAAAAAACTAACAAGAGAAAAAGAAGGGAAAAAAAACAACTCTGAGGGGGTAGGCTAGCAGTCCCTCCTCCCTCACAGCCCCCTGGGGCTTAGGCTGTCCCCCGACACTGTTCATAGGTTCATAGATGTAGGGTTGGAAGGGACCTTGCAGATCTTCTAGTCTGACCCCCTGCCCTGGGCAGGAGAGAGAACTGGGTTCAAATGACCCCAGCTAGGTAATCGTCAAGCCTTCTCTTAAAGACCCCCAAGATAGGAGCCAGCACCACTTCCCTTGGAAGTTGGTTCCAGATCCTAGCCACCCTGACTGTGAAATAGTGCCTTCTAATGTCTAGTCTGAGCCTACTCTCTAACAACTTATGGCTATTATTCTTTGTTACTCCGGGAGGTGCTCAGGGGGAACAAGGTCTCTCCCATTCCCTACTGGTCTCCCCTAGTAAGTTTATAGACGGCCACCAGGTCCCCTGTCAGCCTTCTCTTGTGAAGGCTGAACAGGTTAAGGTCCCATAGCCTCTCCTTGTAGGGTCTGCCCTTCTGTCCCCAGATCATGCAAGTGGCCCTCCTTTGGACCCTCTCAATTCTGTCCACATCCCTCCTGAAGTGCAGCAGCCAGAACTGGATGCAGTACTCCAGCTGTGGCCTGACCAGTGTCGCATAGAGGGGGAGGATCACCTCCTTGGCCCTGCTTGTGATGCATCTGTGGATGCATGACAAGGAGCGGTTAGTTCTACTGACCGTGTCCTCGCATTGGCAGCCCATGTTCATCTTGGAATCGATAATGACTCCAAGATCTCTGCCACTGTGCTGTCAAGAAGAGTTCCCCAGCGTATAGGTATGCTGCTGGTTCTTACTGATGAAGTGCAGCACCCTGCACTTGTCAGTATTGAATCCCATCCTATTCTCATTTGCCCACCTCTGTAACCTGTCCAGGTCCAGCTGTATCCTGTCCCTCCTTTCTAGCATGCCTATCTCACCCCAAATCTTGGTGTTGTCCGTGAATTTGAACAGCGTGCTTTTCACCCCCTCGTCCAAGTCACTAATAAAGAAATTGAACAGTGCAGGCCCAAGTACCAAGCCCTGGGGGACTCCACTGCTCACATCCCTCCAGGTTGAATATGACCCATCCAGCACCACTCTGAGTGTGGCCCCTCAGCCAATTTGCTATCCATCTGACTATGTAGGCATCAGTGCCACAGTTGCCTGGCTTAATGAGAATGGGGTGGGAGACAGTGTCAAAGGCCTTCCTGAAGTCCAGAAAGACTACATCCACCGCGACACCTGCGTCCAGCGACTTTGTGACCAGACTGTAGAAGGCAATCAGGTTGGTCTGACAGGACTTGCCCCTAATGAAACCATGCTGGTTGCCCCTGAGCATCATCCCCACTGCTGCCCTTCCCAGATGTGCTCATCGATAATCTTCTCAAAGAGCTTCCCCAGGATCAAAGTAAAGCTAACGGGCCTATAGTTGCCCGGGTCCTCCCTCCTCCCTTTTTTGAAGATGGGGAACACATTGGCCCTCTTCCAGTCATCTGGCACCTGGCCAGAGCACCACGAGTGCTTGTAAAGCTGTGCCAGGGGCCCTGCGATAACCCCTGCCAACTCCCTCAACATCCTGGGGTGGAGAGCATCTGGACCTGCTGATTTGGACACGTCCAGACCCTCCAGAAGTTCCCTACACCTGGTGGAGTCTCTCCCGAGTCTGTCCTGAATCTCAGTGGGGGAGTCCTGGTCCCTGCACAAAAAAATGGAGGCAAAGAAATTGTTAAAAAGGTCTGCTTTTTCCTCTGGTGCAGTCACCAGATTGCCTAGTGTATCCTGGAGGGGCCCCACATTACCCGGTGCCTTTTTTCTACTCCCTATATATCCCTGTTCTGGGTCCTCCCTCCTGCCGAGGACCCCTCTTCCTTCCTTCCCTGCCACCAGCTCTTCAATTGCTGCCTGAGCTTGGCATGGAGAGCACCTTCCTTGCCGGCCATCTCCTCTGCTGTCCCTCTGTCTCCTGGTGCCAGCTTTTATCCCAGCCAGGCGGCGTTCTGCAATGATGTCAGCTGCCTGAGCCAGCTCCAACCAGAAGTAAGCATAGCTTACGAACCGTGCAGGCATCTCTTCTCGGTGCTGTTTGTTCCATGTTTTCTGGCCTGAAATTGGTGAGTTTGTCCTGGTTTCAGGGCTGTCCTTGTAGGAGTGGATCACCTCCATCCCCCGTCCTACCGCAGGGATGTTTCTCCGTTCCATGGTGACTGTCTCCCTGGGACAATTTACAATGTTGATTGTGATATTTTGGCATCAAAGATCATAGATTGCCTGGTTTAAAAAGAGCAGTCAATGATGCTTGGAAGCTTCTCCTCCTCCCCTCTCCCCCTTTTACCTTTTTTCCACCCTCCCCCCCCAAAAAAATATTCCCGTGTACTACCTGCAGGCCTGCTCCCCATGCAGCCCACACTGCCATCCCAGTTGGGTAGGGTAGACCCTGGTGTGACAGCAGTGCCAGGCACATTTGGAGCCCAGAGCACGCTACTGCCTCAGTGCCAGCAGGCCCCACACAGCCGAGTTTCCGCAGCTGCTGGGGAGAAAGCTGCTTTTGCAAAGGTGCCCAGTACCTGGCAGACTGGAATGTTTCCCGCACAGCCAATAGCCATAATGTCATTTCTCCTTTTATTGGTGCTGATCCAGTAGCCAACTGATAGATTGGGGTACCCCTAGTTTATGCTTCGTTGCACCCTTTCAGTTTCATTAGGTCTAACCAAAACAGGAAATAAAGTTTTAGAATAGCAGTATGCATATCAGCTTTACGTCTACTCCTCTGGACAGTACCTGTATTGCAAAATACTTTGGCTAAAATTAAGTATAGAGAAAATACACAAGAAGCATTTTATTAGTTTTTCTTCTACTTTTAGTTGCAAAAATGAAATTTATGATGATTTTCTGGGAAGAGAGCACTGCTGCTTCATCAGTACAGCTGGAAAAATCTCATCTCCAAAGTAGATACAGAGGGAGAAGCTTATTTTCCTCATTGTGAAGAATAAGACAAAAATCACAAGTACTATCCAGATCCCTAGATGCCCTCCATTTGGTGGGAAAGAAGACTTACCTTTCAATTCTTTATTTCATCACAGAAAACTTTTTCTGTTTTTATAGCTGACAGATAATTTACTAGCAGGAATACCACAGTCTCTTTGAAAAAAGTTATAAGCAAGCTTTAAAATATTGAGCTGGGTTGAAGCAAGTTTCATGCTCTTGTTTAGTGGGTGGCTTATTTTGCTTTGAGGAAAAACATCTGCTTCTCGATTAATATGTGCTGCTCTTTATAACCAGAAGCATTGGCTTGTCTTACTTTTCAATAAACACCTGTCTAATAGTAAGGCAAAAATTGCCTTTAAAGATTGCAGAACTTCTAAAAGCTTCTAAAAGCTTTGAAAGAATGGCAGTATTATTTTTTTATGGAGTGTTTTATTCCAGACACACTCACCAAAGTGTAGTAGTTCAACTAACTTGGCATTCGTACCTTTCCTAAATTAATAAAATTGAACTTAGCTTTGAAAACTGATTTGTTTTTGTAAGGTTCTTTTTAATATCTGTTCTAAATGAACTTTTTCTTTCTACGTATTAAAATTGTGGCTGGTAACCACTTTTTTTGGTACATATTGACTTACACTAGTCTAGTTTTGATTAAATTTAATTTTTCTTCATGCGGTCTGTTCAGCACTTAAATTGGCAGTATTCAAATTTTAGTGATCAAGTTCTTGCTGTCTGTAGCAGGATTTTAGAAGTGGGTTGGGTCAGCTGGGAGTCACTCCCAAGGCATCTGTAGCCCATGAAGGAACGCTGAGCAAGCCGACTTACGCTAGAAAAGCCCAACTCTGTGGTGGGGGTGAGGGAAGGAAGGAGACATCCAGTAGTTCTTCATTCCTCCTTCCTAAGTGGGCAGTGGAAGCAGGAGAGATAAAAACCCTACTTATTGCTTTCCTTGGAGAAAGAAAGAGAAATTTATTCAGACAATTTCTATAAGCCAGGCAGGAAGTGGTAAAAAGGTGGATAATGAGGGGGCACCATGTTCTACCTCAGTATGATTTTTTTTCTGCGTGATACTTGAACAAATGTATCTAGAGTAAGACAGGATTTCAGGGGTAGGTTGTAGTTCCCATTCTGCAGCAAACCTGCTGCCGTTAAGCTGGGCAAACTGCTTACTTGCTTTGCATTTATTTCCCCATCTATAAAAATTATATTCACTTTCAGAAAAGCTTGATGGTACTTACTGTACAGCTGCAAAGTATCCCATCAGAGTCAGCAAAATGTAACACATCTTATCTAATGCATTCAGGGTAGTCTGCTGTGATTACTATGTCTCCCAACATCTTCAAAATTCAGTATTATGCCTATTAAACATTTAAAGAAACTTGTAGAAATCGGGAGGAGGAAAAAAAAATTGAAGGTTATGCTATCTTTGGAATCTTGCCCATTATTAATCATTTTCTCATGTAGTCTTTTTGAACTTGGTAAGTTGCTATACCTGAAAATTTTAGCAGCTGGCATCAGGGAGGCAGAGAAATTCATACCAAAGGTATTAGTGAGTTAAAACAAGGTAAGGGAGAGTACATTTTATTAGCATGTGCTAAGGCTAGCTGAGGAAATTTATTTTGACTTATGAATAATGCATTCATCTTTAATGAACCAATTCTTGGTTTTAACAAACATTTATATTAATTTATTTTTCCAGGTTGCAGACTGCAGAACAGATGTGGGAAGATGTTGGCTGTGGACACGGGGCTTGTGGAGGAGTGGTTATCAGAGTTCAAGGTAATATATTATTTGAGTATTAAAGTTTCAGCAGTGGAACTGACTTGTTATCAGAGCCTCATGCAAGAGGAATTTGACACAGATTTGCATACACTTGAAATCCATTTATGATAGAATACTATAGACTGGGGGTGATCAAACTCCAGCATGTGGACCAGATCTAGCACTTTCTTATCTGGCCTGCAGAGTTCCCCATGGGTCTGTGGGAAGATTTGCAGGCTGTGACCCTGCATGTTAAGTTTGGCACATGGGATGGTATAGAGGCTGATCCTAGTGCAGGACTGAGTGGAGGTGGTACAGGGCCCAATCTCAGCACAAGGAGCCTGGAAGAGGTGGCATGGGCTCCAGAGCCCCTGATTCTGGTGCATGGGAGGGACCCCAATCCCAGCACACAGAGTCCCTTGTTTCAAAATAGGAAAGGTAATGTTCCCTGGTAGATAGAGCACTGATCAGGGATGGAGTGGGGTGGGGGGAGCAGTTGCACCGCCTCACATCATATAGCAGAGTGATATCTACCGACTGTGTAGCTTCTGCCCCCTGGCTAGTGGGGGAGACCTGGGGTGGAGCTGGGTAGGGAGCAAGCACAGAAGCGGGGATCAACCCAACACCCTGGCAGCTGCTCCTTGCTCACCCTGGCTAGAGTGTGGCAGGAGACATGTGTACCTGTTCCCACTGCCTGTTTTCTCCTGTGCCCTCTCCCTCGCACCCCAGCATATAGGGTGTGCCCTGCTGACCTGGGCACTTCATCCTTTCCTCACACCCACCCACCCCATGGTCTGAGCTCAGTTCTTGCTGCCTGGACTCCATAGAGGACCCAGGTATCCAGGGGAAGGGGAGCTGCCGGCATGTCTCCAGCTCCATCCTGAGCACCATCCTGTCCCTGTGGAGCAGCTTAAGCTGGAGGTGAATGTGATGTGGATCAAGGTTGAGGGGCACTGAGAGCTAGGGGGGCAAAGTTGCAGCCACCCCTGCAGTGCTGATTGCAGCTGCCACATCCTTCTTTCAAAATCCCAGATCTGCCTAAGGCAGTGACTAAGATATAATTTGAGCTCTTTCCCTGGCAGCTTGGTTAAATTGCATAAGTAACCACTCTGTCTCCAATCCTTCATTTGTAAATTGTGCTTATTTTTTTTGCTCAGTTCTGGATAAGAAGCATTCTGTAACAAGCTGGGACAGATTGAGTTAGATGCAATGGCTCTGAGATGTCTTTTAAACTACTAGAAATCTAATCTTGGCTTTTGTAAGCATTGGCAATCAGGTGCTAGAGAAACAGTGACATACATGCTCAAATGACCCACATCGATTGCCTCTCTTCAGAGTAGTAGAATATCTGTAGCTTGTTTGGCTACAAGTGGATAAAATGGCATTAGCTGCTTGCAGACAGACTTTGAAGACAAAACTATGTTGTATTTTGTGTATACACATACTCTGCTTACATTAATTTCAGGATTGTAATTCTGTGTTTTTGGTTTGCTTAAAACATTGTTTAGAGTGGGCAAACCTCTGATTGGTGGCCTTTAGCTAAATCTTCTATCCAGTTTTAATTAGTTTTTCCATGAAACTGTGGAATGAAAAAAATGTAGGTTGTAAGCAGTTTGATTTGTGTGTTAAATGTATTGTGACTTCATTAAATTGCAGAGATGGTGAAATGTTATTTTTCATAGATATTTTTCTTTTACAATGGCAAAACTGTTGTTGTTATAGTGGGGAAAAAAATGTCACCTGATTTATCTATTTGTACCAGAAATGTCGCCTTCTTTTTTTTTTAATGTGTTGCCACAACAAAAAAAATATTTTATTTCAGACGCTGCCAGAAGCATCAATAGCTAGCTATGCTACAAATTTGAAAGATAAGAGTTCTCTGGTCTCATCTTTATACAGAGTTATTCAGGAGCCACAGAGTGAGGTAAGTATGCAGTTCTCTCAAATCATAATCTGATATGGTGGTAGAAGGGGGGAAACCCCTCGTGCATAGTAGTTGAAATAACAGTTCCGATACAAATTAAGATTTTAGAGTCTGAGTAGGACTCATTTAAAATGCCTCTCATTTTAGTTCAATGTAAAGATATGGGCATGATATAGTACTGTGGAATTTGTCAAATACCATTGCTTAAACTATAGATAACCTTACAGTTTACGCTGATCTTAGATGGAGGTATAAGATTAAGGGGTAAATTTTTGAGACTTGCCAGGTGACTCTATATCAGTTGAATAGTGGAGCCTACAATTGATAGGATTATTTCTATGAGACTGATTAGTATTTTCTTTTGCAGTTTTTATTATAAGTGTTTGCTTTGATTAACATTTTAATTTAGCTGAAAACATTATTATTCACTTAAGTGAAGAGGTAAAGACCGAGGGTTTTGGAAGAGAAGCCAAATGTATTTGTAATTCATATGTGTATTCTCCTGTTCCCTGTCTGGAAAGTAAAAAAAATTCATACTGTGTTTTCTCACATACAATACATTTTTCGTCAAAAATCAGCCTTCCAAAACTCAGATGTATGTATTAGGTGGGGAAGCCATTTTTTTCCTTGCCCAGAATTGAAGCATTCTGCTTTGATTTCCATTTACACTGCAGCAGCTGTGATACTGCTATACTTGCAAACCTAAGGGAGTCAATTGATTTAAAGATTCATGATTTGTCTCTCCATTTCAATAGTTTTGATGTTCCACTAATCAGTTTAACTTTTCTTAGGGCAATTTTGCTGTCTGCTAGCTGCCCAGTCTCCCCTCCTTTTTCACAGCCCTGAAAAATCTTTAGCTGTTTTCAAAATCCATAAATCTACCCGTGGAGGAGCAGTCTTCAGCAGCAGCTAGGGTTCTGGCTTTAGTTAAGCAGGAAATGGTTGGTGATTTGACTGTAAATTATGCTCTGTCCCTGCTCAGTGTAGTCATGACTGGAAAAATCTTTCATCTTTCTGCCTCTCAGAATCAAGGTATTATACACTGGATTGTACTGTATGTGAGAGAATATGGTATGTAGAAGCTACAACAAAATTTTTCAAGTTGAAAAGCTGAAAACGCATCAGACCTTCAGCTGCACATAATTGCTGTAATGACAATTTGCATACAAATCTTATACAGTCTTTTGATAGTTGTTACCTATTCAGTTCATATGGACTTTTCATGACTAGTTTGTTGGAACTTTGGGAACAGTGGTGCTTTTTTGTGATGTCCTAAGTAAAGCAGTGATCTGATCATTGCCAGCATCCTCCCACAACCATCAGTTTGAGGTTGAAAAAGAGGGAAAAGGAGGAATTCTGTCCTCTTGTAAAGGTGGAGTCTTCTGTCCTATATATTTGGCCATGATGGAGGGTAAAGAAAAGTACAAGAAACTGGTGTCTTTATCAAATGATTTGTAACAAAGGAATGTAAAATTTTATCGTAAGTCCATTTTTTGTGTTTCCAAAATTCAATGTCAGTTTTGCTTTCACATTTATTCAGTGCAAGCACATAATCTCTTGTAATAATATTTTATTCCCCTGACAGTCTCTTTTTATATTATTTCAGCTGTTAGAACCAGTTTGCCACCAGCTTTTTGAGTTCTATCGCAGTGGTGAGGAACAACTGCTACGGTTCACGCTGCAGTTTCTACCTGAATTAATGTGGTGCTACCTTGCCGTCTCAGCCAGCAGAGACCTGCAGAGCAGTGGTTGCATAGAGGCCCTTCTCCTAGGAGTTTACAACTTGGTTTGTATAATAACTCAAATTTAAGAAATTAGTTGATTTCTTTAGAAACAAAATCTCTTACTGGGGTAAAGAGAACAGTCTGTTTCCTTCAGGACAAAATGAACAGATGTATTCCAGTATTGTAGTAATTGTGTATGGGTTGCTCATATGCTACTGCAAATGCAATACTGTATTTTATTGTTTGGGCCAGTGCTTAATTTGCCAGGATTTAATTTTCATATGAAATCATAGGACAGAGTGCCAACTTGAATCCACTCCCTGTAAAAGTCTCTTTAAATCTACATTATGTATCTACTCTGCTTTTATTTTCTCTTGCTCTCCATCTTCCTCTCCTCCCTCCCCCTTTCTTAGCTAAAGTTATTTAGTCGAAGTTGCAAGATGTATGCTTTTCACTCCTATTCATTCCATCATTTGTACTTCAGAGCCCTATCTTGTACTTTTAGCTATTCTTGAGTGGATAGTATTCCACAGAAACTGCATTTAAATCACTTGTTCATAATTCTGGGGATGACCCAACTACTTTATGGAGTTTTTCTCTTGCTTTTAAAATCAAGAAACTGGAATTTATTGTCAGTTTGTTCAGACTTGGGTGCTTTAAATTAATCTTCTGTTAGATGACAACACCTTTATCTAGAGATCTTATTCTTATCACATATGAAAATAGTAACATTTCTTAGTGAATAACTCCAATCTCCAACTAGATTATTTTTCTGCTTCTATTTTACACAAAGCTTGGTGCATTGTCACTGGTTGTGTTAAAGGCCTATTAGCTTTTTTTTATCTTATCTTGCTTTGTAGCAGCTGCTTATCGCAGACACTTTCAGGATTTCTGGTACTCTAGCTGTTTGTTTCTTAGTAGAAGGGCAATGAAAAGATGGAGAACTCTGGGAAAGGGTGAACCTTATACAGAAAAACTGAGGAAGACAAAACAGTGCATGCCTTTGGTGACAAAAAAATGGCTCAAGCTTCATGCAGACTTTTTCAACCGTTGTGTACAACTGTCTCCAGTAGGCTAAATACATTCTTGCCAACATGTTTGACTTAACTAAAGCAAAAAAAAGGAAGCAGGCCTACTAACTCTTCCATACACACCTCACACCCAGTTTAAAAGTCAATAGGTCTTATTTCTGCAGTTACTTGATTTTGATCTTGCGTTCCCTGATAACTGCCATGGAGGCCTTGGTTAAAGCACAGATTGCTAACCCCTTGTGTACTCTTGTTAGCAGAAAGTGATTGACCTATTACATAAAACATCTTAAAGCCATACCTAAAATCTTTTATTTTAGAAGAAAGTGTGCAGGCTATTTTCAGTCTATCCTAGGTGCTTGGTGTAGTGAGGATTTAAAAACACACTTGTGTGAAGATGACTGTCTCCAGGAGAGAGCTTGTGCCTGTGAATAAATCCCATTTTTGGCTGTCTCTGTTTTGCTGTGTGTCTTATTTGGCCTGTATATTTTGCTTCCTCCCGTCCCCCCTTGCTGTGCCCAAACCCTTTGTCTTAAGTTTCTCACCAGTTTTGTGACACTGGTTATTCCACCAGGGGTTGCTGATGACTTCTTAAAAGGACTTGGCTACCTCAGCAGTGTTCAGCGGATGCTTGTTTCTGATTGGAACCAGGTGATGAGGTCAGAAAAGTTATTTAAGGGTCAGGTCACCTGGTTGTGGGCAGGAGGGTGGTTCTTCTAGCAGGCATTTTGGAAACACAGACAGAAGCATGGGCTTCCAGAATCCTTTGGATGTATATGTAAGTAGCTTACTTGAAATTTTAGCCAGTAGATTACAGTTATGTATCTTTAGCTGTGAGTTAAAAGGGCCAACAAGTCCATTCTGTTTTGCTCAAGACATTTTTTATAATACTCTTCTATCTTGTAGTCCTTCCCCATTCTCCCTCTCTTAATAAAAACTGTCTGTTACAACACACCTAGCTGTGAATACTTGAGAGGAGAGAGAGGCCTTTTTGCTCCTAGCAGAGCTCGGCTGATTATTATCTGATTCTGTCCTACCTGAAAATATCCTGGGTGGCTCCAGGCTATAAGGGTCACCCAGAAATACTACCAGTGGGTGAAGCACCCCAAGGGCTGCAGGCTCTGTGTACCCCGGGCTGTACAGAGCCCTAACAGAGACAAGAGCCTGGGTGGTGGCAGCAATTACCCCAGGCTTGCAGGTGTGCTTAAGGAAGGGAGTCAGCTAGAAGTAGACGCCCCAGGGGAGATAACTGAACCATGATTTTGGTTGGGCACAGTGAGGTGGGTGGCTCAGTGTAGTAGTAATTTTATTTGTAAATTATCTGGAGTGTTGAATCTTTGAACTAAGATTCATGGGTATCTAGTCTAGTTCAGGGCCCAGTACATGCAGTGTATGGGATGCTGGTCTAGTCCAAGACCTATGGGTAGCACTGCAGGCCAGATGGCAAGGCTCCATGGGCTAGATCCAGCCTGTGGGCCCTATCTTTGACACCCCTGGTCACTGCTCCCTAGAGATCTAATGTTAGGTGAATGTGCAGGATAACAGCAGATGAAACAACAGGTGGGAAGAAACTATTTGAATTATTTGTACATCTCGATGTACAACTAGCTGTAATTAGCTGTTTGGAAACCTTTCTGTTGTCATAAAATGCTGATTCTCAGATGCAAAATTTTATGTGAAAACACCATGGTTTTTGTGGTTATAGTGACAGAGCACATGGCTATCTTTTGACCAAAGAACTGTCACTGTGAGTATCTTGTCTTAAGTAGAACTATCTTGCTTTGACACTCCAGTCCATTGCAAGAACTGAACTCTAAGTAGCACAGAAGATTAATCTTCCAGCACTGTGATTTCTGAGATTACTGGATTCTAAGATTAGGTTTGATAACTATCAGGCTGCCTTGCTGATACCCAGTTTTTGGGAGCTGTGAACACTAGTGTTCAAAAGCTCAAGAATCTAAAAGCTATGTGCTTTAGCTAGTAAATATTCAGACTATAGAGCCTTCTGTCTCCTGAGTTGCTGCAGGAGCCACTTGTCTACATCCTGGCCCTGTGGCACAGGCTGTTGAGCCTCAGGTGTGATAGCCTCGCTGACTCTCATCCAGTCATATACAGTCTGGCTAGGCCACCTTCCCAATGTGGCCCAGCCGGACTGGCTGTCAGCCGAGGCTCTGGCTGCCTGGTTGGGCATGCATTCGGTCCGCTGTGCCAGCTGTCTTTTGGGGGACATGCGGGCCACGCTTCCAGCGGAGGCAGCAACTGCCATTGAGGATTACCTCTGAGCGCAGCGAGACATCCCTGCTGGAGACGTCTCCAGAGCACCTTTTGTACCACTGCCCATTGTCCCGGCCATGGATAACTATCTGGGCGGTGGGCTTGGCACCGTATTAACACTTCCTGTGCCTCCTGACAGTGATGCTGGGATTCATCTTGATGTGCTCCCCCAGATAGCCCTGTACACATAGGTGGTTTGTGTCTACCACGCTCGCATCTTTGCCACTTGACCTGACACGATGTGGAGGTGGCATCTGATGGCACCGGCACTTAAGCTATTCATTGGCAAATGGACTGACTACCTCCAGTGGTGGTTGCTGCATGGGATACTAACCACTGGCATTCTCATCTGCCACGTAGTCCGACTGCATCAGCGGCCTGTCCCTTTTGCCCAGGGGAGGTAGAAGAGGATTTATTTCATCCGTTCCTCAGGTGCCCCTGACTGCTTCTGCTTTTTGCTGCCCTTGGCACTTTGTTTGAGACGCTAGACTTGGACCTCTCGGAGAGCACCTATTTGTTTTCTTTCCCATACTGGGCGGCAGACGAGTGTGTCATTTGCCTGGCCAACTTTCTGCTTGGTCAAGCTAAGATGGCCATCCTCAAGGGCCTCAGGAACTGGCTTGTTGGGGCCAACACTGATGATGCCCTGAGACTCTTTCAGTTCTTCGTCCGGGCATGCCTGACACTGGAATTTGGACATGTGGTCCTCCAGCAGAAGGTACCCACTTTCCAGGCACGTTGGGCCATTCAGGGGGTGCTCTACAGTGTTGAGGGCATCTGTTTAGTCCTTGTGCTGTCATACTGCTTGCCCCTTCCAGGGTACTGGCAGGAGTCTGAGTGGGCTGTTGTTACACTAGCTTTTTTTGTGTGTTAGACTGTGAGGGCAGGGCTTGCGGGCCATAGCCCTAGGCTCTGTCTGTTGTACCTGGGCCCCTGTGTGGGCAGTGTTATTTGTTTTGTTGGATTGTTACCCCCTTTCGCCCCTTAATAAACCTTTATAAAAAGTCTGTCTGTCTGTCATAATGGATAGTAACTGTTGAGAGAGTGCTAATACAAGGTGAAAATAGATCTTGCAAGAGATAACCCTGTGTATTTGTGTTCATTGATAAATTATTTGTGCATCAGTAACATGATCATCAAATACCAGTTAACAGTAAATAACAAATATTTTCAAGTCAACATTTTAAAAAGACAAAACCAGTGAATATAGAGGAAAATATCAGGTGAACTAAGTTTCTAGCTGTTTTACACTATAAAGTAACTGTGGGGATATTTAATTTGCTTTCTCTTGAAATATGAATGTTCCTGTAACTTTTATATGATATAAACCCTTTGGATGTTTTTTATATCTTCCAGGAAATAGTGGACAAAGAAGGGCACAGTAAGGTGCTGAGTTTCACAATTCCATCCTTGTCCAAGCCTTCTGTGTATCATGAAGTGAGTGACAGCACAGTACTGAAAATTTATGTTTACTCAGAAAATTTAATTTTGCTTTTGTTTTGAGGCTAGTTCATAAAGATAGAAATTGGAAAAATGAATATTTTAATAAAGATGTAATGAAAGTTTTGACTTTTTTCCCCCAAACATTTTATTTTTGTCAGCTAGTGTCTTCTGAGACTATTGTAAACTTAATAGCTTTAATTAAGCATAACTTGAGACATGACAATTGTACTGTTTACTAGCTTTCTCCCAATCTTGTGTAATAGAACAGTTACCCTAGAAGAAGAGACTTAAGCAGCCAAATAACCTTATTTATGTTCAAAATTATTAATAAACACTAAGGTCTCTGGATGCGAATTTAAAGATGCAATGGGATCTGATCCCCAATCTCAACAATTGCACCTCATTGCCATGCCATGTGCGCATAGCAGAATGCACAATTTTGGGATTGGGGATCAGATCCCAATCACACCCTACTTGCCAGTGCAGGGGCAGCCCAAGATCATGATGGTCTGCCTTCATGGCAAGTTGAAAATTGGGTTTCCAGCATTCAGCTGATTGTTGGCTGGCTCTGGGACTTACGGGGTATTGAACTGGCCCCTAAGCGGTCCCTGGAGCCTGCTGGGTTGATCATCAACAGGATTAGGACTGAACCAAGACTTGAACCAGTCCCAATGCAATCCCGATCCAGCCAGTGATCAGTTGATTGTCATCTGGCAGAGACTGCATGGGGTCTGGTTCAAGGCCTGGTGTGGTCCCAATCCTTCCAACAATCAGCTCATCAGGCAGGAACAACCAGGGCTGGTTGGAGATCCTGTGCAGTCCTAACTCTGCCACATATTCACTGTAAGGTGTGGTGGAAACCCAGCCATAAAAATATTTAATATTTTTGTGTAATATTTTATGTGGCTGGTTTCCCTTTTTGTGGTGTCATTCATTCCCTGGATATGTGGCTGGCTGGCTGGCTACTTAAGACCTGACATATTGTGTCTTGACTGCTTTGTAATGAAACTAGGAGGACAAATGTTTTGAATATTTTATTCAGTTGTCTGTTTACTTTAGCCTTCCAGCATTGGTTCCATGGCTCTTACTGAGGGAGCTCTATCCCAACACGGTTTGTCCAGGGTTGTGTACAGTGGACCTCATCCTCAGAGAGAGATGTTAACAGCACAAAATAGGTAACATTTTAGCAACACCTTGCTTGAAAATTCTATAAGAATTTTGTTGTTCTACTATCTTTCATCCAATTGAGTATCTTATAGTTGTGGGCAGTTATTCTAGTTGCTTGATATTTGTTACCAGCTTTTAGAACGTATATTCAAGTATTTTCAAGAGACGCTTTTAATACATAATTTTAAGATAGATTGCAAATAGTTCTATCAGGAAGAGGATGTGGCTTGCCAATGTAAATAGTTTAAGTGGCTGTGTCTGTGACTTAATGAAATGTGTTACTAAGTCTGGTTTGTTTTGGGGGGGGGGTTTGTTTGTTTTTTTGTTTGTTTTTTATGCAGCATACTCTCTTGTGGTTTATTAATAAAAGCTTATTTTATACACTACCTTTTGTAAAGGGAAAGTTCTAAACTGATAACTTTAATTCTTAGTTTTTTGGTAATCTTGATTTTTTTTGTTTCCAGGTTTGAAGTCCTCACATTCCTCCTGTTGTGTTATAATGCTGCCCTAAGCTACATGCCAGCAATCTCTCTCCAATCATTGTGTCAAATTTGCTCAAGGTAAATTTCATATGGGCTGAATGTACTTAAAAGGATGCAGTCAACTTTTAACCTAACACTACAGTTTTAAATACTAGGTTCATAGGAGGATAAATAATCAGAGTGTATAGACTTTTTGAAAATATTTTATTTCTACTTTCTCTTTTTTTTGAGGATATTTGTAGTAGGTCTTAATTTTGTTGCATCTCATTAACATTTAATTTAAACATGGTGGTGACTTATTTTTGAGGGAGATTTGTTCAAGCGGAAGAGAAGTATATATCAGTGTAAAAAATGCAATGAAAAAGATTTAACTCCTGAAATCCTGAAAAATTGTCTTAATGGAGAACAGAACGGCTTCCTGGGTTCTGGTTCTTAGTTATAGCAGTATCACTGTTTCAGAGATTCAGCTTTATCACATCAACAAAAAGAACAGCTGTTGCTGTCAAGCTTTTTGATTTCTTTACTTCTGAGGAAATATGAGATTAGTAAGACACTTTTATAGGTACCTAAAATAATCTTCTCTTGAGAGAAGCTTGCAAGACATCTGGCTAGATACCAGTGGTTTGAGATCTGAGGGTATGTCTTTTTCATATAAAACCTATAATTTTGAATGATCAAAATGGGACCTAAAGTGTCTTTTTACCTTCTCTTCCAAGCCCTTGTCTCTCTAATCACAGAAGTAGAGACTTCCTAGTTGATATCAGTTTGGGGAAGCAGGGGAGTGGAAAAAACGTGTGTAGGAGGACCAGTATCAACCAGTCTCTAGGTCTGTGACTGTGGATCTCACTGAACTGGTTTTAAACCTGTAGATCAGGTAGTGGGATTATTTTTGCTGTACTCTTAGGTGAATCAGTTTGACCTAGTTAGTTTGGACATTCTTAGTTTTAAATGGTGCTGCTGAAAATAAAAATAATAATAAAAAGCATACTTATTTGGCAAATTGATACATACCGCTACGGTGCCATTGTTATTGTTACGTGGCCCACGTGCTGGGCTACAGAGGCCATGGGGGGGGAAGAGGGGGCAGCCGGATGGGGAGCACTGAGCCTGCAGCCGCCAGCCCTTCTGGTACTACTTTTGGAAGTACTAAATGACAGCGGAGTAACAGCCTGTATTGCACTGTGTGCACGGTTATTTTTGGCTGTTACATCATCATAACGGTGCGCTATACTGAGGGAGCATATCGCTATGGTGATGTAGCTGCAGCATCACGGATTTTGCCTATGGACGCCATAGTGCGTTGCTGTGGTGACATAGTGTCATATGTAGATGCACCCAGTGTCAAACTGATACCCTGTGTTAAGAACAAAATGTACTAAAATTTTAAATCAATTTAAGATTAAATTAGCAATTATTAAGCTTCCAGTGAATGCTGATGACGTTTTACAGTCAAACTACTCATTTTGGCTAAGAATCTGTTGGGTATAAACCAGATTTGAACAGTAGCATTTTCTTCAGGTGCAGAGAATATTTTCTTTCAGTTAATTCAGGTAGTTTAGTTCAATTATTAGCTCATTTGGAACAACAATCCAGTGGGGAGTTGTGCTTTTGAATCTCTGAATAAAACGTAGTACAAGAAGATGCATTCTACTTACCTAAGAACCTGAAAAATGTGTTGAATAAGTGGCAACTGTATATAGACAAATAATTTTTAGATAACCTACATGACTAATTAGTAATAAGTACCAAATTCATTGTTAAAGGCTACAGTTAGTTGTATATGAGCATGTTTTATGATTACCCAAGATCTGGGTTTTTCATTTCCCACGGAAAAAGGAAAAAAATACTGATTTTTCCCTTTTAACCGAGAAAAACATAGATATTTTGTTTTAATGGAGAAACACATGGATTTTGCACTTTTGCAAAGAGTTCTCTGCAGGCTGGCAGAGTTCCAGCCTGCAAGGGGCTGGGAGGGAGCGGGAAGAGCATGGTCAGGCAGAGGGTGCCATGTGATTGTATATGCACATGGCCGCCAGGCAGCCTGGAGAGCAGCTCCCAC